TGACCTTTCTTGTTCTGCTTTCCCGGCATCACTCATGCCACTCTTCCTTGGCTTCATACTGCCTCAAGTGTCAGATCAGGAGCCCATCAGCTCTGATGCCAACCACACCTTTCTCCAACAGGGATATGCTTTCCCACAGGCACAGGCAGGGACCTCTCCTGAGCCTCCTTCATAATTCTGGCTACACATCAGTAAACCTCTTCCTGCCAGACACTGGTCTCATCTCATCCCTGAATGCCTCTGGAAATGTGAGGTAAAGAAAACCCCTAGAGCCAAAGAAGAAAACGAACATAATTAAAAATTAATTTCAGTGTAATAATTTAAGCATCTCAGTGAGACAAGCACTAGGCTGTTGCCTGTTTGGTGATGTGGGGAAGACCTTTCTGGTTCCCTGCCCTAGGGACTCTTGTCAGTTTTAATAAGTTTTACCCTGCAGTTGTGAACATGGCAAACTGAATAGCCCAAATAAAGACTACTTCTCACTGGGCACAAGCACATTTACTTAACATTTCTTTCTGCCACGCTATGCCATGGGAGAAGGGCTGTGGTGCAGGTGGACTGCTCACCTTGCTATGCCTCAGCTGACAGGCAGCAGTACTGCTGTCTCTCTGTGAGGGACTGGTCAAAGGAGATGAGCAGATGGTTAAGGCGACAGGATTTCCTCGAATATTTTTGATGGTACTGGCTGTGGGGAAGAAGGGAGCTACATACCAGTGTTGAGTCCAGCACTTAGTCCCCCTGTCAGCCTCAGGCCTGAAGGCCACAAGCATTACTCTGTAGCCTTTTGCCTTTGTGAGCAGTAGAGCAACCGTTGCTAAACTTCCTGAACAGCAACAGAATGCTTCTTCCTCCTCAAGACATGCACGAAACAAGGGATGTAAAAAGGCACATTCCAGTAGCTTCTGCAACTTGATGTTGGCAGTGCTACACATGGACATACTGCATAACTCCCACTCCTTTCCTTGCTGGCCTTGCCAAATCGTAATCATCCTGTTTGCCTATGCTCCTTCCTCCCAGATGCTCTATCTCCTGTTCCTTCCTTGAAGATCCTGCATCTCTTTGAAGGCTTCGGCTGCCTGCCAGTCTCTGTGTTCTCTCCCATCCCAGTTCACTCAGCTTTGTCTGAGGAAAGCATCTGGCTTTCCTAAGGGCTGGTTTCTTCAGCTGTTTTTCAGCACATGGTACCATTAAAGTTGTCATTACATTGTAGACAGTTCCATTCTGGTCTGGGAAGGGCAGTATAAAAAAGCTCAAGACAGATTTGCAGCCTCTGCTGACTTCCTGCAAGATGCTGGCTAATCACTACCTCCCCTGATTACCTCATCAAAAGGCAAACCAGATGTTCTCCTGTGGAAGGAAGAAGCAATGATCATAAAGCATTGCTACAAAGCCACCTTTGTGTCACGTGTTGCAACGCACGTCCAACAGCCTAGAAAGGCAGTCAGCTCAAGAGCCCAAAGTGTCACACACAGAGCACAGGAATGGGTCCAGGAACTCTAGCCAAGGATCTTGAAACCACTACTTTCTTTTGTGAAAATCTATGCTGGGCCATTACATGTAAGAGCTGTAGTTTTTAGATCTTTCTGTGATCACCAACCTGCAAATCAATCTGCTCTGCAAGGGCAGGCAGGTGAAATACACCTTGTCCTGTGGATCTGCGGGCATGAACCACAGCCATTGTCCTTCACAGCGCTATGGTCATCCCCTTGGACCACAAAATGCTTTACACTGTAGCAGAGGGAGAGGGAAGACAGAAAGCTGATTAATCCTGAACTGCCTAGCAGATCCAGATGCCTTTAGGTATAATTTCTTTACTGTTGGCACTGTCCCCACTACACAGCTTCCTAAATTTTCAGGCCGAACTTTGAAGTAATCAGATAACCCTTTTTCATTCAAACCTCCTTCTTAAAGAGTTCTACAAGATACTCAGACACACAAAGAGCTGCCAAACAGAGCAGGTTTTCTCCAAAGTTTTTGTAAGGATGGGGAGTAAGCAAAGCTAGGAGCTGGAGGAGCTATGTCAGACACATAGAGCATCCCACTTTGTTGCACATTCACCTGAGCAGTGTAATTAAATCATACAGTTGACAGATGTAGACATAACCAGGCAGTTCATCATCACCTCCCTGTGAGGCAGGGAAGGTATTGCCTTTCCAAGCCAATATGCCACTGGAGAGTGTCTGACAGACACCATCACACTGGCAACATCAACACAGAAGCACAAACATTTTGCTGCACCACTTTTGTGCCAGCACCAACTCTGACAGTCTAGATCCAATTTCTCAAAGGAATTTAAATTAATTCTCTTTTTCTTTGAAAAGTCCTGTCATGCCTCTGGAAAGTGCATATGAAAGGATGGTAACATGTGCTTGAACATCTTTAATAGTCTGAAGAAGTGAGTGCTGCATTACCAGAAAAGAGATGAGTCCCTATTGAATTATGTAGTACAAATAAAACCATTAAACTGGCCTGCACCATCATCTATTTTGTGTATGCCTTCCACATCACAGAGGAAACATCTCTGAAATTACTGAGAGGAAGGTTTAAACATTTTATTGGGGGCCTTTGTCTGCCAACTCAGGTTATGAATCAAAACCCAACAGGGTTCAGGATGAAAAAAAAATAACTACCCAATGCTTAAAAGCACCTCTGAAACACACCGGGAACTGATTTTTCTATGCATAAAAATACCATGATCTGAAAGTCCTCTGAACCTTAGAGATGTAGAAATAAATTGAACACCCTGCTGGAACACTTCCAGTCTTGGGCAGCTCCTGCAATCCTTCAGAACCACAGCAGAGCAAACCTAGGAACTGTCACACAAGGCTTGATATGTCTCTTGGACACCATGTCCTAATAATTTAGACGATAGACGGGGTGGGTGAATGTGTGTGTGGGAGAAATTACATACCTCAAGGAAAAAAGAAAACATTTTTGTGATAAACCAATTTGATGTTTTTTCCCTTAATATATTTTAAAGCATACCTTTGAAATTGCTAAAGAGTCTGCAATATTAAAATAGCTCTGAAAGGAGAAAGTCACCTGGCAGAATACTGATGAAATGGTCAAAAAAGCACAGCACTTGGCCTTTAACATGAGGCCCTGCCAGTTATTGTCATCAGCGTGAAAGATTTTTCTTTATCAAGGGGAAGGTTACACTAAAAGTTGCTAAGGGAAAGATTCTCAAGGGTCTAATCTTTTTGTAACGCACCATCTCTTTTGTATTCTGCTCTTCTTTTTTATATTCTGCCCTTTAGAGATGGATGGCACTCAAGGATGTTTTTGCAGCCTTCTGTGCTTAGTGAAGTTAATTTAGCAAAGACATTTTCCACTCCTTACTAATTTCAATTTTCACTTCCTCATGAAAAGTTTAGTTTTGTCATGCAGTTTTCTTCCCCACATTAGGGCAAGAATTCTGGTTTTGAAAGAAAATAGATCTCTGCTTGGAAATGAATAAAAAACTTTCTAAGTTGGCATGAAAAATGTTGCTGAATTTTTACAACATGAATGAAGAGGACTGACATTTTGAGAAGCTGTCTACATACAACACATTAAGGTTGCTCCAGACTTAGTGCAGTTTGTTACTGTGTTTGTTAGATAGTGAGTAGATGTAGTTGGCCAATTCTTGCACAAGAGAAAATGTGAAGCCAGGGCACACACAGGTACACACATAAAAGCTAAGCAGAGAACCATAACAGGAAAGCCTGATGGGTATGACTGGAAAAGGAACACAGCAGTAGAGAAAGACCAGAAGGCCAAGAGGAAGAACAGAAGGGTTATTGAGAATGTCACGTTACTGGCACTCAGCTTAGTGGGTCACTAAGATCGCAGTACAGCTACAGGTAGCTCCTGTGGATACCCAGGTTGGGAGACAAAGGGACATTAATGATTCACAGAGGTGGGGCAGGACAGGGAGAATGATCAATCACAAGTATCTCCCAGAAGATACAAAATGGCACTTCCCCGACTAGCAGTACCAACCTCAGAAGCATGCAGGAGTATGTGCGAGGAGGACACGACAGCTGGTATTCCTTATCTTCCCTGTCTTCACAGAGCATCCCTGACTGACCTTTTGGACACAAACATCTTGGTGCCTAAGTGCTGGCCTGACTGGGGCATTCTGGTGATTGAGTGTGCAGATAGAGCAGTATCAGTGAGTGAGAAAAAACCCTGGCCCCTCCCAAAAGGTTTAGCACTGACACTCGCAACTAGAAATAGACACTGCAGAGACCAGGTCCAAACACTACCATCATATCCTGCATTCCTCTTGAAAACAGCATGAACAATTTTTGTTTCATTAGAATTCCCTGCCCTTCAAGTTAAGCAGACCTTCTATCTCACGCTGTATATCCAGGATGCCATCTCCAAGTTTCCCAGAGCTGCATAAACTTTAACAACCAAAAGGTACTACTTGGAGTGAGGATGATGATACCTGCATTTTATGTCGTTTCTGTGGCTGAATCATTCTCTGTAATTCCTGTCTGAAGACAACATTTGCACCATTTGTTTAGGATCCTGTGGAACTGAAGTGTAGTTAGTGCAACACGGTGAATAAGACCAGAATGGTAGAAAGGACTCTGACAACCTTATGTAGCTGCCCAAAGAGACAGGGGAGCTAAAAACTCCTTACACTCTATGGTAAAGTCATTCTGATGGGAGATATTAAAATCTTAAAACATTAAAGAAATTGTGAAGAGTAAACTACAGATTAATCCTTAATTGCTTTAAGGCCAGCAATTTTAACAGTAATATTTTTTCAACCTTAATTAAGGTAGTAGAATTCTTATGGAGAGAGGGAATGGACAGGTGTCTTTAACACTTCTAGGTCTATTATGACACTCTTTTGAAGCAAATTATTTGGAACCCTGTTACATGACAGGATCCTACTCCTAGATACGTCTCTGTCCTCCATCAGACTGCTAGGTCAAGTTTCCAGGAGACAGCTTCTTGAGTTCAAGCTCTCTGGTACATCACCTCTGTCACACACCGAGGAGCCAGTGTAACAAATAATAGGTTTCTTTTATTGTTGCTTTGTAACATAAAATAATTAAATTCATGATTCCAAAATAAGGGGCATTTAAAAAAACTGAGTGAGAGGAATGTGACATAACTGTCATATTTTAAAACACAGAGCCACAAGAATGTTTTCTAAATGCCTTTTCCTGTGATACATTTCTTCCACAGCTTCATCTCACATAACACAGTTTTTGCTATGCGACCAGTGCTAGGGAAGTCGGAAAGAATGATAAATTCATTATCATCCGTGTGCTAACAAGGCAGAGAAATCTGGAATAACAGTACAAAATTTTAAACAAACAAACAAACAAAACAAAACAAAAACCAAAACCAAACCAAACAAACCAAAAAAAACCAACACCCCCCCCCAAATCTCTACAGCAGGACATGGATTAAACACTTCCTCTTCTTTCTGGCTTTAAGGTCACTGACTGGGACTCCTGAGACAGGGGTTTTCAAGGCCAGGCCGAGGTGCAGGGCTTCCTCCAGGCCCAGAGAACACTCTGCACTGAAGGCAGCCTGAGGGAGAAACACACAGCAGCACCTCCAGACAGCAGCACCTCTAGTCAGTTCTTTTCAAGGACATAGATGCTGGCAACGGCCACAAGGACAGTGTGTTAAACTGAGGTGGGACTTCTCATCAAGGAGCTACATGATAACCACACACTAGGTTTTTCCAGAAAGATAATTACTGTTGGGTATGGAGCAAGAGTCCCAAAACACTGCTGAGCCTCCAGGCAGCTTGATTAATTTTACGTATATGCCCTGCTTTATCTTCAGTCACAAGTTCAACTTTGTCCTTGCACATGGAAAACCAAAGGTGAGTATCTGAAAACAAAGCTATGCATACTGGTCTTGTGAGCTGTCCAAAGTTTTCCATACACCAAGAACATACCAAGCCAATTAACCAAAAGTGACATTTGGACAAGATCATCCTTCCCCACCAGGAAGTGAGATCTTCTTGAAATGTCTCCTTCAGTTCCCTCCAGGAAGAAAAAAGGCATTTTACTACGGACAGATCCAGGTGACCCTGCTGGAAGTCCGGCTTACACAGTTCCACTGGATAAGGGTGTAGCCTGCAATCTCCTATATCCTCTCTGAACTCACTGGCTCAGCTTCACATTTACTGGGCCTTGAAGTGCCTGCCTGAAGACAAGGTTTTTCAGTTGATCCAGTTTATTGTCTCTTAAGGCATCCCGTATGGCACTGAAGAAACCGAAGTAGTGCTGGAAGTTGTGCATCATGAGCAGGACACCAGCCAGCAGCTCATTGGTCACGAGGAGGTGATGGATGTAGGCACAAGTGTGCCTCTGACAACAGTAACAGGTGCATCCTTCCAGCAAAGGACCAAAGTCATCTTGGTATCTAAGGAAGAAGCGATGTTGGATAACATCAAAGGTTAGAAGACCCATTCAAGTTACAAAGAGTACCCAATTACTACCTGGCCTTTTGCAGGGACCTGAGCCCAGCTGCTCTAAGATTTGTTGACAACTAAGACCAGCACCACTGGCACAAAGGACTTCAAATATCATACATGGTTTGGGTTGGAAGGGACCTCACCTAGCAGGCCATCTAGCTCCAACACTGTGCCATTGGCAGGGACATCTTCCACTACACCAGGTTGCCCTAAGCCTCATCTTGCCAGAACTCACTTCGGAGCCAAAAGGCCACACATCTAAGTCAGGATAACTCTGACTACATCACAGCTAACAGCAGAGAGAGGCCCTATCTGTGCCTTTGCTGACAGAAAAGCTGCAGTGCAAGACACCTCTCACTAGCCATCACATCATTTATGAAGGAGAAAGCTATCAAAACTATGGATTTACTGATTTCTCTATTCAAAAAACAATACTCCCCTCTATGTGAGATGCTGGAGAGCAAAGCAACACAATTGTCTACTCAGACAGCCCAGAAGTACCTGTGGCAAACAGAAGGAAGGACCAGTGGCAACAGTGGTCAAAGTATTTGTGAAGTATCTAGAAATGTCAGAATTGCTCAGCAGCTGCCTAAATGGAGTCACAAAGTAGAGGGTCTCCACAGTTTAAATAAAATCTAGTATCTCGAGATACTAGAGACCCAAGTTAGATGTGGAAGACAAAAATGATCCCCAGACAAGCTTTGTAACATATGGTCTCTCAGCTGGGGCATAGTTATGACCACAGTATGTCTGCTGGATAAATGACCAGAAAGTCCCTGGCTTTAGGTCAGACAAGAGACAATGCTTTCTGACATACACTGTTGCCTGATAACAAGCTAGAATGCTCATCCAGCACTCTCCACTAAATGTCCAGAAGTACTGTCTTCAACAGCTTTATGTTTTATGAAGTCTCCCATCCAGCTGCTGACCACATGCAACCAAATACAGAAGTCAAAACTATCACGTTCAGTGATACAGCTGCAGGTACCCTCCTCACAAACTCACATACCTTTTGTCCTTCAGACATATCTCAAACGGTGTCATTTCTGGGTGAGCTTTGGAGATTTCTTCCTGGTTTTCTTCAGCACCATTCTTCTCCATGTCCTGGGCCCCATTTTGTGTTAAAACTCCTTGAAATAAAAATGCAACAGCCTTTCACAAACAGAGCAGGGGAAAAGGAAGGATAGCAACTTTAGACTAGGTATTTCTGCTACTCTCCTGCCACAAGTTTACACCTCTTTCCTATAGTAAGCAGCTATTTTCCTTAATTTGCCCTAGGTTAGTTAACTCAAATACACTTTTAGATGAGTAAGAGACAACTGAAAACTAATCTACTAAAACTAATCAAAAGTTAAAGCTGAAAACAACAGTATAACTTTGCTGCTCTACTGAGCTAAATTCTTAATAAAAAATAAGAACTTTTCATCTGAACTGCATGCTGAATAGAGTGCAATCATCTGAACAAATTGATTTTATTGAGATTTTATTAGAGTAGACAGGCAACTCATCTGCATTCGATCATTCTACTTTCCATGCTGTGATCGAGACTCAGGGATTTAGAGGCCTCTTTTTTTTTCTTTCTTTTTTTAATCAACTGGAATCAAAAGAGGCTGGTAGCACTAATTCAGGAGATGTAGATTCCACATCTGCCTTTTCTGCACCTATCTGAAAAATAAAGAATTATCCCATAACTTTGTAGGTTTGCAATTTTAAGTTTGTTCTTAAGGAGATGTATCTGAAAATACCAGTATTACTGTTTGCAAAATCTGTGTCTACCGACTTTAAAACAGACACAGAACAAAACCACTCTCCTTACCCAGAATCTTATGATTTAAGAATATGGCAAAATAAGACACCTTAACAAGATGAGGGTTAAAGAAATAGCAGCACCATAAGAAACAAAATGTTCTATTCTATTCAGATGGTTTTGAATTATCGAGGCATGAAAAGCCACTAGGTTTTACCCAAGAGAAAAAAACTTAAAATGTTTTCCTGCATTAAAAACATCTAATAGGCCAAAACAAAACAGCTGCTTGAAACACATTTGATAGATGCTTTAATGGGTGACATGCATGTTCCCATCTCACAGCATAATGAGGTAATGAGTTATGAACATCTCATTTTTGTTTTGAAATGTACTGATGAATGCAAGGGCAAAGAAAAAATGGGAAACTTCTGACAGCTAGAAAGAAAGAACTTCAAAAATATATTATTATTACAGATACATATTCAGTTAATTCTAGAATTTAAACATAATACATCTCCACTTAATAAGTCCAGCCTTCATTGCTAAAGGTAACAGAAAATTTCCCAAGGGTATCAAATTAAAACCTCTCTATTCAGTAGGTATTTAAGAAATATTTAATCATGTTTTGGCTAATCACACTTAGAGTCCTCAAGTTTTACTCAACAGGTTTCACACCAAAGTACCCCACCTTCAAAAGCAACACTTGACAGTGGAATACCGGTTTTTCCAGTGGTTACTGCACTTATTTCAGGAACAAAACACTCAAATAGAGATTCCTCCAAAATAAGAATTCTCATTGCCACAATGTGAACTGTAAAAATTATAATGACCATCAAGAAGCTTACCTGCTGCTTCAGGATCTGGAGGGCAGTCATAACTGAAAACCAAGGCACAGCCTCGCTCTGTCACTTGGAAAGGAAAGAAGCTCTCAAAAATGTCCACTCCCCTTTCAATGCACTCAAGCACCTCATCTGGTTTGCCCACACCATGAATGACTCTGTAAGAGACCCACAGGAAGACAAATCTACAATATTCTGAGTAGAAGCAAGAAGGTACCTGAAGACCTTCAGGTCACGTGCAGCCCATGTAGCTTATCTCTGCGACTGCTAACCAGAAGGCAAGTGGGGACAACAGTCACTGCTCAGAATCCTGTGTGTTTCCAGTTCTCCACCTCCAACCTAACCAGTACACAGCAGGCTTTTCATTATCTGCCATTTGGAAGACATAATAATCCCTCACTTATTGCGGAACAAACTCATTCTGTTCATTATGTTTGAAGTGATTTGGTTTCTTTCACATACACATAAATACACTTAGATTCAAAACATCTGTGCCATAGAAGAGATATTTTCCTTAGTCATGTTTGTGCCCCAGGGAACTACCAGTTTCCAGACACATGGACCCTTTTGTTTGTTAACTGTTTAAAAGACAGTCTGAAAAGGCTTGATCAAGAGCAGCAGAGACAGCAGTAGATGGCTGGTCAAAGATACAACTCCTTCAGGTGACAGACACATCATATTGCATTTGGAAAACGTGCCTGGAGGAGAATGCACTATTGAGAAATGTCATTAGAAAGAGAGCTTCCTTGCTTTAGTCTTCCCTCCTCTTTACACTCTACCTGCTCAAATGATTTCCCCAAAAACCTGGCTGTAACATCTCCTGAGACACAGCATTAAGAGCCAGGAAGAGCCGGGCTGGATTGCCATCAATGGTAATAGAGATCCTGCTGTTAGCCAAATTTAGTTGGCAGCTTTGCTGATGGTGGGTGAAGCTTAAGAGAGTAGAGCAGTGCCTGCTCTTCTGCAGGTGCATGGGCTGGGCTGACAGCAGTAGAAGTTAATGTAGGACAATGATCTAAACAGATAATTAGGAAAATACGCAGGGGCTGATAAATGAAGTCACAAGGTGCCATTTTTAGTCACTTTTCTAAGTACTCCAATTAAATTGATGAGCACAGAATAAGGATGGGAGAAGTTTACAGCATGAGTGTTTTATGTTTCAGGTTTCCATGGCAGGGAGAAAATGATGCGCAGGAGTCAGAACAGTAGGTCTGCACACATGATCAAAGCCCTTGCTGAAACTTCTCTCTGCTCAGTTAAGGACAAACATTTCTTCTTGCAAGGGTTCCATTGCTACTGGAAAGGAAAACAAATTTTACCAAGAGACTTCAGCATCTTTAGATACATAAAAGGACTCTTAAAAAGGACATTGATATGGTCACACAAAAAGCAGTCACTTCTTGAGTGGGGCACAGAAAGTGTTTGTCTTCTAGAGAATTTCATATTGAATTTCATATTGGGGTAGAACACAGCTGCGTAACTACTTCTCCAGCCAGAATGGCAAGGGTGATTCAGGAACAAGGACTGTCTGAAATTCACTTGAGGTACTTACAAGACCCCCTGGGGCTACCCAGCTTTCTTCCTACAGAGAGGTCAGAAACACTTGTCTTAACCAGACAAGCAAACTATTTGATAGATGAGGCAGATGCACTGGTAGCCAGTAAGGTTAGCTGAGCAGATTGGACTCTAATGCTCCCAGGGGATCTTTTAAGTGGCTCAACCAGACAGGATGGCAACAACACAGCAAGCTTTCTAATTGTCGGGAAAATTCAAACCCCAGGCACCATTAAGCAAGAACAAGCTGCAACACCAGACACGTGCTTTTGCATTTAATTTCCTTTTGAACACCATTAGGCCAGAGCAATGCTCAGCTAGCAGAGGGAAGCAGGAAAACAATGGGGCCTCAGTCACTCTCTTTAGGAAATCATTAAAAAAGCACTCATATTATTTCTGTTGCAGCTGCTCTTATAAGAGCAATGCAGCAAGCTCGACCCAATGCTAAGAAACCCCTCCACTTCTGAACCACTAGCAAGTATTAACATACATTTTTGGGAAGTCTTTAGTTACTATTACTCATTGGTACCAATGAAAAAAGCTGCCACCCCTGTCCTCTCTCTGCCATGAATGTGATGGGCAAAAATAACTACTCCAATACAAAATAAGCCCCACACTGTCCGAGAACAGAACACTGTTGTTTTAGGTGAGGCTGTATCACCTCTGGTAGTTCACAGGCTCAGTGTCTCAGGTATTAGGTCAGAGCTGGCTGCCAAAAGATCATGTAAACACTGGCTGGTTCTTTCAGCACCCCGCTCTGGAGCCATCCTCCAGCTGAGACCACAGAGGACTGGAAACATGACAGATTTTGATCTCATGAGATGAGGTCCCCTCATAAGATGAGGTCCCTGCATAATATCTTGATAATAACATTCTTGTTTGAGCTGAACTTCAAGTCAACCATGGCCTCAGATGATGAACGCAAGCACCCCGACATACCCTACCTGTAATTCTTCTAAAAACGTAAATATGACTAATGTGGAGAATATGCATATTCAGAGTGTGAGTACAGCTTGGTGCCAATTGCAGCTAAAAACTGAAACAAGGGTTGAAGCCTGCAGCCTGACAGTGGTAAAATTTATGCAGCCTGGCATGTGCAGAGCTGTGCAATACAGTGATTATTTCCTACAGGGATGCTGCACAGCAGCCTGTAGATGCTCCTCATAATAGAACAGATGGATTTCTTGGGATGTTGCCCACATGACTTACCTTGGTTTATCCTCTGGCAGCTCTGCTGTGACAGAAGCTATCAGTTTCAACTTGGTCTCCATGGCCATGGAACATCCCTGGAAGCCATCTAGCAGGAAGCCACCCACAGGCCGCTTGGCAGTCTCCCTGGCTGATCTGAGCCTCTCTTCCAAGATATCTCCACCTTCAATGGCCCCAAACATTACACTTCCTTGTAGCTCCTGTCCCAGGAAAAAGCTACAAATCTTAAGAGCATGCTCTACCAAAGACATGCAAGACATCTCACAGCCCAGACTTCAGATGCCAGCTACTTAAGTCCCACATTTCCAGGAACTTGCCAGAACCACAGTGTTTTATCCCATGTAATACTATTCCCCATGCAACACTGTGAAGTCCATGTGTGAGTGTAAGAAATGGGATTAGGGGAGACAAGATTCTGCTCCTTACTTTGACTCTAACTCACTAAGAATTCTGATGCCATTCTTCCCACCTCCCTATTACTGAAGGCAATAACCACACATCACCTTTGGACACAGCTTTTTATGGATGGCCCTTCAGCAATACATGTGTCAGTGCAGAATACAAAGCAGGTGCCATTATCTTGGCTGTCAGAACTCATCTCATAATGATCACACCAGATCTCACAATATTCCTTTTCAGGAGATACTGATATCAGCTCCTGTCACCCGTTTTCTTTCCCTTGTAGTGCACACTCAAATATATATCTCCTTTCACCAAAAGGGAGGAAAGTTCCAAAGCTGCTGGAAGACATGAAGCCCTGACTAATTCTATCAAGTCATTCCTCACTTGGAACTGAGGGGACTTCAGATCAAAAAGATAGGTTTTCTCAACCTGAATGAGAAGATCCCACTATTTGCCCATGCATATAGAAATAAGGTAAGTGAAAGAAATGCACTACAGTTCAAAACCAAGGGAGGAAAAAATTAGAAGTAGTTCTCCTCAACTAGTAGGGATGAGTATTTTAGTGCAGGAGACAATTTACTAAAAGCAGAAAGGAAAAATCACTATTGGTTATACCTTATCTAGGACTGTTACCTGGGCATTCTCTGACACATACATGTGACACGATTTCCTATTAAATCACATCCTGGTACTGGTCCAGGATGCAGCACAGACCAAAAAGCAGATGCAGTGCTACTGCCTCAGTATTTTAGGGACCTTACCGGTGATTTCTCTTGCAGCTCAAGACATACATCCAGGAAGGAAAGTGACCTATCCACAGACTTCTTTGCTCTTTTTCTACCAACTTCCCCAGAAATGGTGTCTCCATCAGAGAGGCACTGGAACCAGTCCGGCTGGATGGCCCGCTGTATGTCCATGAATTTGGAAGCTGTCATTTCCATGCGCCCTGAGCTTCCCCACAGGGAGACTGTCTGTCAAGGAAAAATAGGGAAGAATGTTAGTTGCGAAAAATAAGCAGATCCTAAGGGTGAAAGGAGGGGAGGAATTGGTCTGGTGAAATACCAGATACTGGAATGATAACTCATACCACATTTCAGCCTATTTTACAGAATCTGTAATTAACCTGTGAGTGCAGCTTGGCTGTATTTTGTTGTATTATTGTTAGACTTGCGACACTGCTGCTCCAAAATTTTAAAGGAGTTTTCAAGTAGTTAATTGGTCTCAAGCCCTTTAAAAGTCATCTCTTTTCATCTACAATTCTGTCAGTGCTTTTTTAAAAGAGGAAGTGTGTTCAGCTATCAGAAATAGCATATAGCATGAAGTGTTATGGGGACTTTTTGGGGCCTGAGGGTTTAAACACATTCTGCTAGCTTATGCCAGCCAGCCAGATTAAGCAGTGCAGTTCTCATGCATACTAATTTGCAAATTGAATTTGATCAGCTGACGCAAAAAATATGAGAAGAACAATTTTTTTGTTTGGTCTCCACAAAGACCCAAAAGGATTGTGGGGTAGTACACCACATGCCTGCTGCCTGTCCATCCATCCATCTCTCCTGATTACTTCTGGCCTTGTCAGCCAATTTCACTAAATTTGAGTAACAAAGACAGAAGTCTCCAAAGTAATAATATTTCTGTAAATTTCCCACTTGAAAAAAGGCAACTCCAAAGGAAGGAGATCCAGAATTAGTACCTGTAAAATAACGGGAAGACAGCAGCTGTATGTTGTTCTGAAACAGCATGTTGATCAGACAGTACCTGCTGCCTCTTATTGCGAGAGCATCGAGGAACAGCTGGTGAAGGCAGGCAGAGGAAAGTCAGAACTGTCTGAGCCAAAGGGCAGTGTGTAATCACATCTAGTTACCTTCATTCTGCTCTCGAGAGGAAAAAAGCAGCTTTAATAAATAAAATAGCCATGCAGCTTAGAGGACTGAGCATTATCCTGTGATTATTTAAATCCAGCCCATGCTAGACTTTCTGGCACAGTATCCAGAGCTTTCTGTCCCACTGCTTTCAAAAAGCTTTCATAAGCATTTGTCAGTACAGATTCAGCTGCAGAAGGCCTTGTAACAAGGTGACAAATATCTTCACCAGCTTATTGAAAAAAAAAAAAAGCTGAATCAAACCTGCAACATCCAGGTTCAGATTGCTGCTATCACCTCATAGCTGCACAGTGGTAGGACAACCTTCAGATAATTCCTTCCCTGAAAAAAGGCAGAACTCAGCCTGGTTCCCAGCAGCAAAGAATATACACTGATAGCTGAATGGTAGTAGTTATCCTCTATCATTCAGTCACCTTTCACCAAATGTGACCATACCCAAACAAGCCTTGAGACTGACTGGATCTGAGCAGGTGCCAGGAGTGGCCCCTCCAGGACAAAGCTGTGGCAGGTAGCGTGTGGATTGCATAGGGAATGTGTGTGTCTGTGGGATGGAACAGGAAAATGCCTGCAACACTATGTGCTCCTGGACTGCTGAGCAACTCTCCTGCAAAAATTCTAAGTTCTTCTCCTTTGTGGGTCTGTAGCAGACTAAATATACACACAGGGGTTCAGATTTATTGCTTATCAGCGGCATCACTGTAAGCTGGTACAGCAAATACACTAAAACAAAGGTATTTTCTTTTACTACCATATTAACCACAACAATATGGGAGGCCAGAGCTCTCCTTTCTATCTGAATTGCAACTTAACTGCTCAGGAATTGTTCAGGGAACATGTTGACAAGTAAGAACATATACAGCTTTATTTAGTTGGAGGTATGAGCATGTAAATGACATTCCTCTTTGTGCAAAGATTAGAAAAATAAATCTTGTGGCTGTCTGAGCACACCCACAGAGATGAAGGGACTGGTAGCTTTCTCTTGGGAATTTTAGGTGGACCCTTTCAAATCTTTACAGCTACTGTACCTTGTTGGTGTTGTAGCCAGATGGACAGGGACTGACTGGGTCATGAAGGGAGCAGTACAGCACAGCATCTGGCATACCTGGGAGCACAGAGACAGACATGGGGTAGAGTTTTCATGAACTAAAGCAAAGTTAATGCAAAGATGTGGTTTGTCAATTTGCAAAAGGGAACAGGGCATTCTCCCACACACAGATACATCCATTCTCACAAAGAAAATATCAATCACTTGATATCTCAGCATCAAAGAAGGCTGACTTCTTCCTCAGTTTTACTATCTGCAGGGACAAGAGTGCAGCATCAGTATAAACCATGAAATAATACCTTTTGGTTCTGCAACCTACATAGCTCTTTTGAGATTTATTTCTGTTTCTTCTTGATTAATACTTTACCTACTAAAATTGTCTAGACCAAACAGCTGACTCACTTGACCACTCAATTGATACACTGGGGACATCTGACATTTGACACAATCTAAACTGATCAACAACCTCAAGCCTAGAACTTTTAAGGAAGGAAATATAGAATCATAGAATGGTCTAGGTTGGAAGGGACCTTAAAGATCCTGTCCCATGGGCAGGTACACTTTCCACTAGACCAGGTTGCTTAAAGCCCCATCCAACCTGGCCTTGAATACTTCCAGGGATGGGGCAGCCACAGTTTCTTTGGGCAACCTCTTCCAGTGCCTCACCAACCTCATAGTAAAGAATAGAATACTGAGAGAACATATCAGCTACACAAATGAGAAATGTATCATCCCTGCCAGACTGGAGGCTTCAAATGTCAGAAAGCAGACAGTAGGTCTCAATGACAGTCTCCTCTTCACAGACAGTCACTGAAATTGGTAAAGCCTCTAAAAAGTGTCAGATAAAGAGATTCTTCAGTTTTCTGTGAAGGAGTAAGTTGCCCCAAAGCAGTCGAAGTTTACTGAGAGTTGGGTGCAAACTTCCTTTGCAAAGGCAAACCATAACTTTGTTTATATAATGAAATTTATGTCCCAAATTTTTATGCACTTAAGAAAAAAAAGCGCACGCTATCAACACAGAATTCTTTTTCTTGCAAAGTCTGCTATATTCCATACACAAAGAATTGTCTGTAAATTACACAAATTACAGACACATCATCACTTTCATAGGACCTAACCCCATACCCAGTGTAACTTGGGATACCCAGAAAAAGCATCCCAGAGAAACTTGTTGACTTGGCAGATCATCCTCCAGTCCTTTGAGCTGCCTCCCCAGACATAAATACAGGCTATAATACACATATTCACACAAGAGGCCAACCCTGCATTCACTGAGCATTCAGGGTCCCTTGCCACATGAGCCTGACACCAGTGATCTGAGCTGCACAATGCACGTGGTCAGGCCTTTACTGATCTGTTGTGACAACCAGAGGGAAAAAACAGGAGAGTCACAAACATAGGAACTGCTGCTTTACTCATTCTTATCACCAAGGTGTTAAGACAAAGATTCCATTCAGGAGCTGCTCCAAGGATGGAGTACAGGGACTGATGAACATCACAAAGGCCTATTGCAGTAGCCAAAGGATGTGGCAACATCTGGCTGTTTTCTGTATGACTATCCATAAGTAAAATTCAGTTAATTCTTAAAACTGACTCTTTAAGATGGAAAAGTGGAAGAGGAAGACAGGGAGAAAGTACAGTCCAAATGCTAAACAGACAGGAACAAAGAACAGGGGAAAATGAGCTTCTCCATCTGCTTCTTTAGTTCCTCAAAGCTCCCACAAATCCAACGTGGGTCCTTCCCCTAACATATTCTCAGAACAGAAACAGCTCAGAGATACAAGTGCCCACCAGCTGAGACTGATTTGATGTAGGTGCTTTACCTGTTCATTCTTCATACTTGTTGGAAATCTTGAGCTGAAATTAACTATTTTAAGGGAACCAAAAAAGCCAGGAAATGTATTTGAGCAGCTGTGTGGGGAAGGCCCTTTTCATGAAAATTTCTCATTCTCCTCATAAAAGAAGTCATACTCTGCACCTGGCAAGATTCATTTGCAGCAGTGACTAGGGGGCTACAGTGAAACCTCTCTCAGTTCTAGTCTCAACTTTTGGGCTAAGCCCACCCCAGTCAGTGCTGCAGCCTGCAAGGAGAAGGCTGGGTGCAGAAAAAGAGGGAGAAAAAGCAAAACTACTTATTTTTGTAGGCTGATTGAAGGATTTTTGGCCATACAATTGGCCAAAAGAATTTCTGGCCATACTAATGTCCACAGGCTATTTCAAGCCTTCCTTAGTGGCACTCTGAGTGAGAAAATGCCTAAATGTGGAAAGTCTGTACCTCCATCTTTCTGCCTACAGTACTGCCTGAATATGCTCTAGTGGGATCCACCTGCATTATCTCTCCAGACATACAAGCAAACACACACACTTTACCTATAAATTTTGCAGCTCCTTCTTTATACTCTTCCAGGACATCATGAATTTCTGCCCTGCAATCCAGATACAGAAACACATTAACTTAGCAGACAACTATCAAAAAAATCAGTGGTTTCATAACTAAGGCTTCTGTTTCCATACTTATGCATTATCTGAAACTGGATTGGTTAAGCGTTGATTTCTGCCATCCAGCTATCAGGCAGTAAGGCAGGGGGAGATGGAACTAAATTCCAGAGACACAGAGCTCAAGAATCATAGCCCACAACCCAGGGCACTCATAATTCTGTGTCAAACAGGCAGAGCTTTTACTTGCACTGCCCAGTGCCCACTGACTTGCTGGAGAACATGCAGCCCCAGTGTGACTTCTTGAGTAGCATCACTAATGTGCATCATTCAGCAAAGGCAGTACCAGGGAGGGGAGAGCTTCTAACAACCTTTATGATGATTATCTTCCCTTTCAGTTGCCACTTACCTAACTAGTTTTGAGAGTCAACTGCTGGTCCAATCTTACCTCAAATGTTTCCAGGATGGGGCATCTACTACCTCTTCTGGGCAACCTGTTCCAGTGTTTCATTGTTCTTATTGTAAAAAATTCCTCCTTTATATCTAGTCTACCCTCTTACAGTTTAAACTCATTACGGGGCAAGCCCTGCTAAAAAGTTTGTTCCTTATTTTCTTATAAGCTCCCTTTAGGTACTGGGAAGCTGATACTAAGGTCTCTCTGGAGTTTTCTCCTGGCTGAACAGCCCCAGCTTTTCTCAGCCTGTCGTCACAGGAGAGGTGCTCCAGCCCTCTGATCATCTTCGTGGCTTTCCTCTGGACTCAGTCCAACAGGTCCATGTCCTCCCAGTGTTGGGGACCCCACAGCTGGATGCAGTACTCCAGGTGGGGTCTCACCAGAGCAGAGCAGAGGGGAGAATCACCTCCCTCGACCTGCTGGCCGAGATGGGAAGACAGCTCTGAAGTTACTCCCGCGGGTTCGGCCTAAACACGCTAAAAGCCACGCGGCCCTCCAGCTCCCTCACCTTCGCCTTTCCCACCGCGTCCCTGCACCTCCCTTCCACGGGGAAGCAGCGGAGGGACCCCCCAGCTCGCACCCCCTCCATCCCCGCGGTACTCACATGGCGGGCAGGGGCAGCTGCGCCACGCCGGGCACGCCGCGCACCTCCCGCAGCGTGTCGTGGGTGAGGTGCGGCGCCGAGCCGGTCCGCGTGTACAGCAGGCAGCCCGGCAGCGCCAGCGCCCCGGACCCGCTCCTGCCCAGCCCCGACAGCGCGCCCAGCCGCCCGCAGCCCGCCCCGAGCAGCTGCAGCTGCATCTTCATCCTCGCTCCGGCAGCGCCCGGGGCCGCAGGCACCGCGGAGCTCCCTCCCCAGCGCGCCGGGCGTCATCAGCGGGCGCCGCGGGCCGGCACCGCCCTTCCGTTGCCATGGCCGGGCAGCGGCCGCCGCCGTCCCGCTGGCGGCGCCTCCCGGAGGTAACGGGGCACGGCGCGGGGGGAAGCGCCGGGGGCGGGACGGTCCCCTGGCATCCCGGCGTCAGGATCAGGGAGGAGGTTTCCCAAGCAGCGGCCGCGCGGTTTGCCGGCGGGGGTGGGGAAGCTCCGCGCAGGGCTGGAGCGAAGGGCGCCAAAGTTGGCCGCGTTTGAACCTCGGGTTCAGGAAGGGAGGCGGGTGGTTGGAACGCTGCTGTGTTTCTTATCCGCCTGCCGAGGTTTGGATCTGGTAGCGTGAACAGTGGTGGAGTCGAGGTGGAGTAACTTGCGCACTAACATTCAGTGTCAGGTTGGAAGGGGCTCTGAGCAGCCTGGGGTGGTTGAAGATCACAGAGTCATTAATGCTGAAAAAGATCTCTTAAGATCATCAAGTCCAACTATTAACCCAGCACCTCCGTGTTCACTAAACCATGTCCCCAGGTGCCACATCCGCACGGTTTTTGAACTCTTCCAGGGATGGTGGCTCAAGCACTTCCCTGAGCAGCTTGTTCCAGTGCCTGTTCCTGCCTTCTAGTGAAGAGATTTTTCCTAATATCCAGTCTAAATCTCCCATAGCACAACTTGAGGCTATTTCCCCTTATCCTGTCATTTGTTTCCTGGGAGAAGAGGCTGACCCCAACTGGCTACAACCTCCTTTCAGGTAGTTGTAGAGTGATAAGGTCCCCCTGAGCCTGCTTTTCTCCAGGCTAAACAATTTCAGCTCCTTCAGATGCTCCTCATAGGACTTACCCTCCAGATCCTTCATCAGCCTTGTTACCCTTCTCTAGGTATGCTCCAGCACCTCAATGCCTTCCTGAATTTAGGGGCCCAGAACTGGGACACAGGACTAGGAATGTGGCTTCCCCAGTGCTGAGTACAGAGGGACAGGCACTGCCCTGGTCCTGCTGCCCACATTATTTCTGACACAGGCCAGGATGGCACTGGCCTTCTTGCCCACCTGGGCACACTGCTGGCTCATGTTCAGCCATCCTGTCAAGCAGCACCCCCAGGTCCTTTTTCGCTGGGCTGCTTTCCAGCCACTCTTCCCCCAAGGCTGTAGCAATGCCTAGGGTGGTTGAGACTCAAGGGCAGGACCCAGCATTTGGCTGTGTTGACTGCATACCATTGGCCTCAGCCAGTCAATCCAGCCTGTCCAGACCCCTCTGCAGAGCCTTCCTACCCTCAAGTAGAGCAACACTCCCATCCAACTTGGTGTTATCAAAGATGTCCCTGCCCATGGCAGGAAGGTTGGACTAGATGACCTTTAAAAGTCCCTTCCAACCCAAACTCTATGCCAGAGTAAGGTGTCTTGTTGCCATGCAAAAAACTCATGAGTCAGCACACAGAATTGTGCTGTTGAGCAGTACTGCTGGTTGTATGGGCAAGTAATACAAGAGATTTACCCTAAAGCACCATATCCTACATCTACAACCACCTGACATCAGAAAAAGTGAAATTCTAGGGTGAACTTCCCTTTGTTTTGCTTTCTTCAGCACACCCATGCTCCCACCCTCAGCCTGCTTCTTATGGCAGGTAGGAGTGTGCATCTGCCTCCTCAGGCAGCATCCCAGGCCTCTGGCAACCACACAGAGGGAAGGAGTTCTGCAGAAGTACAGACTGTCCGGGGTACTGGTGTTGCACGTAAAACACAGTGACATGTCAGGACCATTTACATCTCAGAGAGATGAATATTGGACAGGAAGTATCACAGAGTATTTGCACAGTGGCCAGCCTGGCTATGACAAAAGGCTGGTATCAAATTTCATAGTTGCTGGTTGTTGGGGACTAGCTCGGCAAGTCTCCATCCAGTCTCCGGGGGCTGGGTGTTTGCATTCTCCCTATGTGTTCTCCAACCTCTATGATCGACATTAATTGCCAAATGAGTGTTTATTTAATGACTTCTAAGTCAAATTTATCCAGTCAATCGAGCAATCGGAGAAACATGTTTCAAAAGAAATCTATTTCGTATAAGAGCCGTGCTGTCTTACGTTGCATTCCCACTGATGTTTGCTCTCTCTGGAGGAGAAACATGGATATAGGAAGTGTCAAAATTAATCTGCAGCAATCCTTAGAAACGTTTTCCTTTCTTTAATTTAAAGAGAATGGACCAAGCTGTCTCTGAAGCTTTTTCCCATCAAAAGTCAAGCTATCCACAGGGGCCTTGGGGTCCTGTAACAAGTTTGGAAATCATGGAACAGCTGCAAGATCATGATGAGGCCCATGAGGAAGGTGAGATAAAATTCTGCTTGCCACAAGCTGTCTAAAATAAACTGTTCTTGATCCAGCCTTGTCGTTTTGGTGTGAACAGGCTCTTATAAATCTTGAGATCATAAGAAACAGTTCCTAGTAGGCTGTCTTTCATCTAATGGAGAAAGGCATAAGAAGGATCAGTTGCTGGAGTTCAAGGCAGATCTTAAATAGCATGCCTAAGAGAAGGATCAGCTCTTTCTCTCCTGGAGATATCAGGTCAGGACAAGGATAAATTCTGCCCTTAAAGGTGCACTGTATGATCAAATATGAGTTAGTGGGCTATAGGAAACCAGGTAAAATTACCTGACATATTTTTGATAGCAGGCCAGATGTGGAAATGGAGTTGCTCTGTGTAACTTTCACATCTATGAATAACTGTGGTTTTGCTTTGATTCCCATGCAACATTTTTCTCAAATATTCCTTTTGTAATGCCTGCAGCCACAACCTCAAGTTTGAAAATAAAGCTGTGATAGATTTAAAAAACAAAAAGGAGGGAAATTACTCCTTCTGAGTACAGGTAGTCCCAGGTGAAGCTTGCCACCTGACGGATTTGTAATCTAGACTCACCAGTTGGTCCTCGAGCTGTGGTACTTGCAAATGTTACCTTGTACACATGAAGCAAATGTTTGTCCAAACAGTGGTCCTTTTTATTTAAGGTATGACAAAGGTGGTTGTACATGAGGAAAATAGATCTAAGCATCTGCAAGTGCAGCAGTAAAACACTTGAAAGCTATCCAAGTTATGAATTAACCTCATGTGAATTCCATCTCCTTGATAAATGCTGTAATAATCACATGAGTGATCTAAATGTCCACAGAGTCCTGAAGGAAAAATGAAGTAGAGAAGAATTCATACATGATGTCTGACAGGCAAAAAGTTTGTCACCTTCTCTTCCTGTTCCTTTACAGATCAAGATGAGAGCAGAACTATTAGTCTTATTCCATTTTCTGTTGCAGATCAGCTTTCAGTCATTCTCAGCATGTGATATAACTATCCCAGAGATAGTCTTACTAGTTTACACTTATCCATGTATTTTTTAAGCAAGTGAAGTCATCAGTCTCTTTCTTCATGATAGCCCAAGAGCTGCTCAGTAACTGGATGAAGTCCAAACTGCAACTGGAGCTGAGTGATGGAGAAGATGAAGTTGATTCTGTCCTCCTGGAAGAGCCTTCTGCAGCCCCTCCGAAGTCTGAGCAGTTTGATGGTGAGAGCACTGCAAAGCAGTTCCTGCTTCCTCTCTGAGGATGTGCTGGGGAGGGGGGCCGGGTCTCCTCACTTGTAACACTGAGAGGTAATAGTTGTCTTGAGGCCAAGGTAGTGGACTTGGTAGAAATAAGATTACATGTGGTGATTTTCCTCCCCCAGTTATCACAGCAGCTTGCTGTAAGGCTGCACAGATTCACCTCATAAACATCCAGTGTCTCCCTTTGTAAAAGAATTTTTTTTTTCTTTTTTGAAGGGGTATTTTTGAGGCCTGTCAAGTTTATACAGCCGTTTGAGATGCTCAGAGGCAAGGCAGTGAAAAATGGATGAAACATTGTTACTGCTCTAGCCTGTTCAATGGGAGCCTGATTATGACTGGGGATAAATGGAGTGCAGTCAGTGTGTCCATGTTCATCAGAAGTGCATTCACAGTCTGGGGAAGTGATCCCTTTAATTACATTAGGCTTTGTGATCTGAGACACAGGGGTTTATTCATTTCAGACTAGCCTGAGATAATCTGAACTTCTCATTTCAGACTTGTGCAGCTATCTGGAACGTGAAATGGAAAGTTCTTCTGTCCAGAAATACGTACAGCATCTTTTGCAGAGTGAAGATGTGAACTGTGGGATAATGAAACATCTTAGACTTGAAGACATCAAAGAAAAACAAAAACTTGCAGATCCACGAATAGTCATGGAGCTCAGACACAAGCAGGTGAGCAGGCAAGGCAGCGCAGTTAAAAGGAATAAGATGGAAGGTTATAGGATTAGAGTAAATGCTCAGTGATACCTGCCGAGCATTCTCTCCCAGCCTGCAATAATCTCTGACTTGGAGGCAAATACCCAAGGATACTGTTCCACAGTTCAGCTGAAACATTACTGCATTTCCATGGGCATATTAGCTTGCACAGGCATCTTCCACTACATCGTTCAGGTTACCCCCTTCCTGAAGACTGACAGGAAAAGCTGCCACAGCAGTTAGTTCTGAGTTTGCTCCCATCAAGTAATATTGGTTTAACGTCACTCTCTGGAATGGATTGTTTTCTGGTCTGAGAGCAGCATCTCTCCAGTCAGTGC